AGATGGATCCAATCAGGGAGGATGAGGCCCACTTCTAGTAGCTGATCTGGAGGTGTGAATTCCAAAAGAGGAGAAGCTGCTTTTGTAGTTAGCAAGCCATTCACAGTCTTTGTTTAATCCAGAGTTGATTGTGTCAAACTTGAAGATGAACTGTAGCTCAGCAGTTTCTCTTTGAAGTCTGGTCCTGAAGTTTTTTTGCTGCAGGATGGCTACCTTTAGATCTGCAATTGTGTGTCCAGAAAGATTGAAGTGTTCCCCTCCAGGTTATTTATACCTGCCTCTGGAAATTTCCACTACATGCATCTGACGAAGTGGGTCTTTGCCCATGAAAGCTTATGCTCCTACACTTCAGTTAGTCTATAAGGTGCCACAGGACTCCTCGTCGCTTTCACTTAAAACAGCAGTGGGCAATAACTGGCCCAAGTCCTGCAGAAAAATCAGTAGTGCAGCCTCCCCCACACTCACTCCATGCTGCTGCAACGTGCCGCTTCTTAGACTGAATGGGTAATTTAGTCAGCACAGCCCATTCAGTCACTGGCTTCTCTGCTGAGATAGGCACCAAGAGAAGTAAGTAGGGCCAGATGTGATGCAGGTACCTATTCAGTAAGGCTATGTCTAGACTGCAGGCTTCTTTCAGAAGAAGCTTTTCCAAAAGAGATCTTCCGAAAAAACTTCTTCTGAAAGAGAGCGTGCACACTGCAAAAGTACATCGAAATAGTGATCTGCTTTTTCAACAGATTTTTTATACACTGAATGAATGCTCTCTCGCATGTAAGCTGTGACTGCTATGGACAGAATGGCCACCAGGGCACCTGTGCTTTTTCTTCTTTCCTCTTCTTCTGAAAGAACTGCTTCTTCCCTGTCCACATACGCCTTTTTGTGAAAGAGCTCTTTCTCAAAAAGGCTTTTTCTTCATACAATGAGGATTACCAATGCTGGAAAAACCCCTCTGTTCTTTTGATTTTCTTGCAGAAGAATGCAATTGCAATATGGATGATCCTCAAGTTTTACCAGAAAAATGGCTGTTTTTCTGACAAAATTCAGTAGTGTAGACATATAAACCCCTGGTAAGAATGAGGGAGTTATGTCTATTTTTATAAATCTCATAGAGACCACAGGTTATCTTCTTAATATTATCCTGCCTGACTGAAAGAAGTTAAATGTCTAAAGACTGTTAGAGAGAAAAATTAAACAGTGACAAATAAGCTACTACTATGAAGGATATCAAGGTTCCTTGAGGAAACTCTAGGGGAGCTATTAATTAGGTAATAGCCACCTGACTGGCTCTATCAGCCTAATAAGGTTTATTTTTCCCATGCCCAAAACTAGGATCAGAGGGGATACTAAAACCCTAAAATGGCAACTTAGGGAAAAATGGAGTTTGAATTGACAGCAATTGCTGGAGATGAGTCTCTGACAGGGACTCAAAGAATTTTATATGAGTTTTCTAGCTCTCCCAGTCCAAGAGTAGAACATCTGAGTTCAGTAGAATTCACCCAAAACTTGCAAAGAAAGAATAAAGTTTATATAAGAACCTGGTAAATAGACCTTTTGGTGATTTTTCCCAGTTCTCTGAATGAGTAAATAATCAAAGCTTTGTTTTGAAGAAGTTGAGTTATTTTTAAACAGCTGATGGTCACTGACCCCCGTGAAAGAGGTTATTCAGTATCTCACTTTTATTGTATTTCTGCATTTTGAATGTAAGTCATAGATCGTAAACAATTTAAACATTAATTTTATACAGCTGTAATAAATTAGTAGGTTTGTTTATTATGAAAACCAAAGTGTAAGAATTAGAATTGTTGCAATAAATATATTTATAGATAATATATTTTGGGATTTATATACATTTTAGAGAGTTTGTGCATCTGTCTGTCAGTGAGTCCATCCATCCAACTGTGAGTCTGTTTGTTCAATAACTCATCCTAAACCATAAGAGCTAGGGCCACCAAATTTGGTATGCAGTTTCCTCTTATCCTAACTTAAAGCAAAGGTTAGGGGTGCCAGGACAATGCAATATGCCTTGAATTCTATTGTTTTCCATAACATGCAAAGGGAGGGGGATGCTAAGAGGGACAGTTATGCTCCACATTGACCATGGGGGGCATTATACTGCAGATTGACCAAGGGGTGGGGGAAGCAATTGCACCAAGAAGAGAGTGGCTAGCTGGGGCCAAGGCTCTCCATGCTGTTAGCCACTGTCCCAGGTAAGTGGCCCCCCATTCCCAATCCTTCCTCCATAGGCCACAGAACCAGACAAGCTGCAGGCTAGAGCCTGACAGCACAGACCCCCATGTTCCCAGAGAAGCCTCCCGCTGTGCTGCATGGCCCTTGCCACCACAGATGGCCCCGGAGGCCCCTTCTCCAGATCTCCCTGGCCTGAATCCTTCATCCCCCCCTGCTATGAATATTCCCACACCTCCCATCCTCACCCTAAGCCCCCACACTCTGCCCTCAGCCATCCACATCCCCTAGGCTCTGCTCTGATTCCTGCACCACCACCCCTACCAGCTCCCTGCCCTATACAATCATTTAAATACATCATGTACACTTTCCTTTTCATTTCCAGATACTCACCCCACCCCCGCCATAAAATTACTATAAGTAAGGACTCGAGCAATGCTGGCTAGATCTGCCAAAACAGTAAGAGCTGGCTGGGGGCACCCTCCCCTGCCCACATCCAGGACTGCCCCAGCCCTGAACCTACCAGTCTCATGAGCCCATTAGAGAGAGTGGGGGGAGGTGGGTATGAAGCTCTTTTCTCCCCATATTCATATGGGAATGTTGTGGGTTGTTCCCCTTTATGAAGGAGCAAGGGGAAAGTGCACAGTCTGCTGCATTCCTCACTCTGGCTGGGGAGCTCAGGAGGCAGATGGAACGTGGACCTGCTCCAGCCAGCAGATTTGCACCCCTCCCCCAGCTGTCCGAGATGGAGCTGCAGTGGTCATGCAGAGGTGACCACTTAGATTTTCTTAGATTTTCAGAAAGCCTTTGACAAGGTCCCTCACCAAAGGCTCTTGTGTAAATTACATGGCCATGGGATAAGAGGGAAGGTCCTTTCATGGATTGAGAACTGGTTAAAAGACAGGAAACAAAGGGTAGGAATAAATGGTAAATTTTCAGAATGGAGAGGGGTAACTAGTGGTGTCCCCCAAGGGTCAGTCCTGGGACCAATCCTGTTCAACTTATTCATAAATGATCTGGAGAAAGGGGTAAGCAGAGAGGTGGTAAAGTTTGCAGATGATACCAAACTGTTTAGGATTGTCAAGACAGAAGCAGATTGTGAGGGACTCCAAAAAGATCTCACCAAACTGAGTGATTGGCCAAGAAAATGGCAAATGAAATTTAATGTGGATAAGTGTAAAGTAATGTACATTGGGAAAAATAACCCCAACTATACATACAGTATGATGGGGGCTAATTTGGCTATGACAAATCAGGAAAGAGATCTTGGAGTTATCATGGATAGTTCCCTGAAAACTTCCACACAGTGTGCAGCGGCAGTCAAAAAGGCAAATAGGATGCTAGGAATTATTAAGAAAGGGATAGAAAATAAGACACAGAATATCTTACTGACCCTGTATAAAACTATGGTACACCTACATCTTGAATGCTGTGTACAGATGTAGTCTCCTCACCTGAAAAAATATATTTTGGTCTTGGAAATGGTTCAGAAAAGGGAACTAAAATGATTAGGGGTTTGGAACGGGTCCCCTATGAAGAGAGATTAAAACAACTGGGACTTTTCAGTTTAGAAAAGAGGAGACTGAGGGGGGATATGATAGAGGTATATAAATTCATGAATGGTGTGGAGAGGGCCGATAAAGAAAAGTTATTTATTAGTTCCCTACATAGAAGAACAAGAGGACACCAAATTAAATTAATGGGTAGCAGGTTTAAAACTAATAAAAGAAAGTTCTTCACACAGCGTGTAGTCAACCTGTGGAACTCCTTGCCAGTGGAGGCTGTGAAGGCTAGGACTATAACAGAGTTTAAAGAAAAGCTAGATAATTTCATGGAGGTTAGGTCCATAAGAGTATATCTACACTAGCTCATTAATTCAAGCTAGGTAGGCAAATCAGGCAACCGGAGTTGCAAATGAAGGCCGGGATTTAAATATCCCGGGCTTTATTTGCATATTCCCGTCCGACCACCATTTTTAAATCCCCCTTAGTTCGAATGGACTGCCTGCGGCTACACGTGGCAGTTTAAAGTTAATCTGAAATAAGTCCTTAGTTCCGATTAACCGTTACTCCTCATGGAATGTAACTCCGGTTGCCTGATTTGCCTACCTAGCTCGAATTGACGAGCTAGTGTAGACATACCCTAACAGAGTTTAAAGAGAAGCTAGATAATTTCATGGAGGTTAGGTCCATAAAAGGCTATTAGCCAGGGGATAGAAATGGTGTCCCTGGCCTCTGTTTGTCAGAGGCTGGAGAAGAATGGCAGAAGACAAATCACTTGATCATTGTCTTCGCTCCACCCTCTCTGAGGCCCTGGTGCTGGCCACTATTGACAGACAGGCTACTGGGCTAGATGGACCTTTGGTCTGACCCAGTACGGCCATTCTTATGTTCTTATGTTCTAGATGTAGTTCGCACCTGACCCTGGAGCATCCTGCATACTTAAACCTTCATTCCAAGCCCCACCTAGACCAATGATTTAAAATGAAAATGTTACATGCTTCATTTATTTTCCAAAAAACAAAAATTAATTTAGGACCTGAACAAAGCCAGGTGAATTTAGTATTTATATCATTTGTATACGTACATCAAATATAGAAATATACCAATTTTCCTCAATATTTAGAGGAAAGGTTGATCAATAAATCAGACACAGCTTTCAAAATGTCTGGACAACTTATTTTTTCAACACTGGCTACCATAATGTAGATGCATAAATAATAATGTAGATTTCACAAAGCTAACCACTAAGTGGAATATTTTTCATAGTGCTAGGAATAGAACAAATTGACTTTGAAGTATCTACTAAGCACTCACCACAGTTTGATGGTTGACCTGGATCACCTCATCCCCTGCATGGATCTTCTTACACTGGTCAGCAGGAGACTAAAGGCAAGAGATTATTGTTAATTTGGCAACCATGAAGGACCAAGAACCAATAGTGAAAGGGCAATGGGCCTTGCCAAAGGAAAGTCTATTTTAATAACAATATTAACTTGTATTTATAAAGTATTGTTTTTCCATTCCAACCTACACTAGTGAGCATCTCTTTCACTTAGCCCTGGTGCACTCTACTGCCCACCTCCCATGCAATTGGTACAACTGTTCCTGCAAACATTTGTGCAAATAGTCCAATCTCCATTGGTGTAAGTGCAGCTGTATGGAAGGTTCAAGGCACCAGCAGGTGAGGTTGAGGTCTTCTGTTAAATAGATGCAATTGCCAAAAAATGTTGGAGAACACCAAAACGATAGCAATGAAAACAAAAGCAACTAGCCAAACAATCCACTGAAATTTGAGGTGTGCAGCTGTTATGAAACCTGAAATATCAGTAATTGTGCATCTTTAATTTGAGAAGGGTGATATGCTGTTAAAACTATCATTTTCTTCCAAAATAATTTTGAGAGTTTGACTATCTTCACTGATGGATGGTCATTTTCTTAATCCTATTTTAGAGCAGTCCATCTACTTCAGACAAGACCTTCAAGATGAAATAATAGCCTCCACCATAATTTTGGTTGTTTTGGCCTGGGCCAGATCTTTATTTAAATGTAAGCTAGGCAGTTTAAAATAAAGCAAATATAGATTTAAAGTGCTGGATTGGGCAGTGCAGTTCAGCGTGTGCTCAGATCTCATTGACTTCAGTGGGCTGAGTATGTGCATCAGTCCTTTGAGAAACAGGGAAGGACTTGAGCATTTGTGAAAGTGCTTTGCTGAGTCAGGGCCTTAACGAGAAACAAGATTAATGCTACTATTAAAATTAGACAAAAACTACAAAGAAAAACAGCATGTTGAATTTAATTCACAAGGCCTTAAACACATGAATAAAAAAGGGTTTGAGATGGGGGCTATTTCAGGAAGAGCCCTGATTATGAAAAGGAACATATTGTTGTGTTATCAATCTAGAAGTAAATCTAACCTTTTTTCCCACTTCCACAGAAAAACTAAGTAAACCTATTAAAAATACTAGGAATATCCTTGTTGAAATAATCTTTATAACAACTCAAAAAACTTCATTCAGAAAAGCATCTAGGACATGTGTAGCTGGAAACGTTTTAAACATTCTGTTTCTTGAAATGGCAAACACCTTTATGAAATGCATACTTACAAAGATGTGCACAATTAATGAAGCTCATAAATCATTGCTATGTAAACAGTAAAATGTTTAGAGATGAGATTCAAAACTCTTGTAATACTTTTATTAGAATATTAAACATTGGAATATTGTTAATTTCCTGTTAATCACCAAATGATTAGCACACGTATTCCCGGAGAGGAGATGGAAGTTAAATATTGGTAAATTAATTTGATTAAAAATTCTTAATATTGGTTAACTGGCCTGTTTTAATATAGCTCATTGAATGCAAACGGCTTCTTCAAAGTTACTTTAAACTAGGTTCGTTGAGGGACGGTGATAAAAGCCCTGAGGTAACTGAGGAGTGATAAGTGAGGAAGTCGGATACCGAGAAGGAACACAAGGAGGGACAAGCAACAAAGGAGGACCCCTGACTTGGATGGAAAAGGTAGGGCGATCAACTGGTTAACTAAGGTGTTCGTACACAAATGCAAGAAACCTGGGAAACAAGAAGAATTAGAAGCCCTAGCCCAGTCAAAGAACTACGATTTGATTGGAATAACAGAGACTTGGTGGGATGACTCGCATGATTGGAGCACAGTCATGGAAGGGTATAAACTGTTCAGGAAGAACAGGCAGGGGAGAAAAGGAGGAGGAGTTGCATTGTATGTAAGAGATCAGTATGATTGCTCGGAGCTTCAGTATTTAGAGGGAGAAAAGACTGTTGAGAGTCTATGGGTTAAGTTTAGAGGTGGAAACAACAGAGCTGATGTTGTAGTTGGTATCTGCTACAGACTGCCGGATCAGATGGATGAGGTAGACGAGGCTTTCTTCGGACAACTGAGAGAAGATTCCAGATCGCAGACCCTGGTTCTCATGGGTGACTTTAATCACCCTGACATCTGTTGGGAGACCAATACAGCAGTACACAGAAAATCCAGGAAGTTTTTGGAGAATATTGAGGATAACTTCTTGGTACAAGTACTGAAGGAACCGATCAGGGGCCATGCGCATCTTGACCTGCTGCTCATAAACAGGGAGGAACTAGTAGAGGAAGTAGAGGTGGGTGACAACCTGGGAAGCAGTGAGCACGGGATGGTAGATTTCAGGATCATGACAAAAGGAAGAAAAGAAAGTAGCAAAATATACACCCTGGACTTCAGAAAAGCAGACTTTGATTCCCTCAGGGTATGTCTACACTACAGAGCTATTCCGAATTAACTTAATTGAAATAGCATTTTGCTATTTTGAAATAGCATGTCCACACTGAGCGGACCCTGAACTGAAGTTAAGGCTGGCCAGAACCAGTGCTGGCAGTTGAGTCTAATGTCACTGAGAAATATAACAGGATCTCTCAGTAAAATTCTTGTGAACTAAACACACTAACTACAGCAGACATTGCATGATTTAAGTGGCATACTCAGCATATGGATTAAAAAAACCCTGCTCTTCATAGCCACTTATTCTGTGTAACTGCAGGGTATGGATGAACAAAAGGCATTTCTATTCATCAGTCAAGGGAGTTACAGGCATGAACAAATATTATGGTTGTTATTTTTGTAAAAACACTTGATATAATTTTCAGGAGTGAAGAATAATCATTTAAGGAAAGTATATTTTATAAAGATGTGTCAGACTGTGTTACTTCCTTTCTTGGTTGTGAATGTAAAAAATGATTTAAATAGGAAAACTAATGATCTGAAATTCCAGTCTTTCATACTTCCCCTCTGCAGCCAAATGCACAGCTGGCAAACCATAGTTAAACACAAACCAAAACAGGGAATATTTATGGAAACCTGTTGTTAAAATATTGATAGTATCCGATAATCTAAAACACTTTATAGTATTATTTGATTAAGGTCACAACTCCTGGAGGGAGATTTATGTAAATATTTCTTTTTTTACTAATGTAGAATGGGAACTGAGGTACCTTATTCTGCCTCTGACATTGGGCAATAATTTATTCTACGTAAGAAGTTGCTCAATGAGTTGGTAAGGGTGACAGAAAAAGGCAGTAATCTAATTTGCCCCCAAACCTGTATATCAAGTTGATAAAGGACAGAATCCCATGATTTCTAGTTGTACTAACTACTGGAGCACCAGCCTTCCCACTTTCTGATTGGTGAGGCAAAATGTAGACAGGAATTATTTACCCAACTATTCCCAGTTTTTCTATCTTGTTATGTTAAGAGTTTGGGGAGGAAACTTGCTTGATTTGCAGCATATAATGGGCACCTGCCATTCAGCCAAACTAAAGAAATAACTAAATGACTCTTTGTTTAAAGATAGCTAAAACCATAAAAACCCCCACCCAAAACACAGACTGTATGTAAGGCCACTCAGAGATCTGAACTGTATGGAAAGAAGGATTTGACTGAGGACTGAATGTAAAAGCGAGGGCAGAGGACTGATTTGACTGAAGCTGTAAGGATGAAAAGTAGGGACAGAAACACCACAAGAACCCACAGACTGAAGCAAAGTCCGAGGCATAGCCAGAAAAGCTCTAACAAAATGTTAGACACACAGCTTTTGGGTACATCACTGTTTGAAAAGAGTCTTGTGACTAATAGCAAAGAATTTGTCTTCTGCTATTTGATTCCTACTATGTTCAGGGAAATGAGATTTTATGTTCATTCTTATCAAATAAACAGGATTGTGTCAAATAAATACCCTGATTGCTTTATCAGTTTCTCCTCAGAATGGATGCTATCTGCTAAATGGTGCCTCTCAACCTTTTCCAGCTACTGTACTCCTTTCAGAAGACTGATTTGTCTTGCATACTCATATTTGTTTAGAAAAAACAGACAAAAATAGAATAGTGCCATAACACATTATTACTGAAAAGTCGTTTACTTTCTCATTTTTACCACATAATTATGGAATAAGTCAATTGGAATATAAATATCGTACTTACATTTCACTATGTACTATATGAAATTTTAGCTTGTACTGGCTTTGCAAATGTTTTTAAATGTAGCTTAGTGTAAAACTAGGCAAATATCTAAATGAGATTAAGTGCCCTTTGGAAGACTTCTGTGGATCCCCGGGGCATATGTACTCATGGTTGAGGAGCACTGTGCTAGACACTGAATTTTGACTAACTGGTCAAATAAAAAAGGGTAACAATATTATGTCTTCTTACTGGGTCACTCATAAGTGGTTTAATACTGTAGGTACAGTGTATTTCACCTCCATTTCTAGACCATAAAGTCCAATTGTTACTTCCATAAGGAATAGGAGTAGGATGGGAAAGAGACAGAAATATTGTTCTCAATTTGTTAGAGTTCAATTAACATTAGCTGTAAAAGTTGATATTTGGCTGTTCCTTTCAGGTTCTTTTTCTGACTTTGAAAAAGCCAAGTTACTTATTCTCTTTTAAAATTAAATTGTGACTATGGGGTCAATTATCCCTTCAAAAGGGATGATAAATCAATTTTCCAAAACACTGGAAATAAAGATCTTTGAAGTTGCTTTATTTCATAACACACTTAGCAGAAACAAAGAAACAACTCTTAGTGGTGACCTACTTCCTTAGCTAGCAGCATAGCCCATTGCAAATTCGAAATTAGTCTCTAAAATATTTATGGTTTTTACTTGGGCTACTGATGATCTTGCTTTTCTTTTTAAAAGCATCTGCCTTCCCTTTAATGAAGTATTTTTAAAAAAATCCAGCTCCTGTTTCTTACTGTTAGAAGGAAATGTATATGTGATTTCTTTTGAATTCACTACAAAAGTTAGTTGTGGAACATGAAAGATATTGTGCAGCAGATTGAGCCATCTATAGCATTTCACTAAAAGGAAATGCATTGAGAA